TCCTCCTCCTCCTCCTCCTCCTCCTCCTCCTCCTCCTCCCTCAAGCAACTTGGGCTCGAGCGCCATTTTGGCATCCGACGCCCAACCTCGCGCCTCCACGTGGTGCTTGGGGGGCTGCGCACTTTCTGCCCACCCTTTCGGACGGCCAGTTGCGTAGGCGAAAGCGAGGCTTCGCCCGTGGACCCATGGCCAAGGCATGGAGTACATGTGCGAAATGTGGTACGTACGAGTACAACGAGAAGATAGTGGCCAACTCGGGGAAGTGCACCAAGTGCCACTGTCCAGTCAAGCTGTACAAGCCCAAGAAAGGTGCAGCACCCTCGTCTGCTCAGCCAACGTTGCAGAACGTTAAGGGGTCGGTCGGGTCTCAGGCGGCTTCGGCTACATCTACCATCCAGGCGCTGTCCGCCGCGATGGCCAGGGTGACCGACCCAGCCAGTCGGAAGGTGCTCGCCGAGCAGATCGAGGCTGCGGAGCGCGGGGCCCAGGCGGCAGAGCAGCCGTCCACGGTCTCGCCGACTGAGGCGGTTCGGCGCGCCGAGGGCGCGTGGAAGGACGCAAAGCAGAAGCACGCGCAAGCGAGTGCAGCCGTCCCTCGTTGCCAGGAGAATCTGGCGGCAGCGATGAGGAAGGAGGAGGAGGCGGCGCGCGCGCTGGCCATGGCGGAGATCAGCAAGCGCACTGCCGCGGTGGCCCTGGCTCGCGAGGCGGGCGTGGACGTGCACACCGCGGAGGGCGGCGCTGGCGGCGGCGGCACCTCTGGTGGAGGAGGCGCCGACGGCGAGCAGGCGCCGATGATGAACGTCACGTGGGATGAAGAGTTTTTCAAGCAGCTCGACACCCTCGAGTGCACGGAGGGCGAGAGAGCTGAACTCAAAAAGGTAGAGGCGGAGCTGAAGGCGGTCAGGGACAGCGTCATCAGCAAAGCCGACGAGGTGCAGAAGTGGAAGACCCAGGTGCTCGACCTCAGGGCGAAGGTCAAGGAGCGCTTGGACAAGAAGAGGAAGATCGACGACGGCAGCAGCGGCGCCACCGTGGGCGGCGCGGGAGGCGGTGCTGGCGGCGGCGGCGGCCAGGGGCAGCCAGTCGCTGCGGCCCATCCGGCAGCGCAGGGGGCGCAGCATGGAGCGCCGTCCGAGGACGAGATCAAGATCGAGATGGAGCGCATCAGGGCGGCTACAGCAGCTGCCAAGGCGGCCGCCGAGGGGGCTGCTGGAGTGGCCCCAGAGGCGGGCAAGGCGGAGGCGCCGCAATGAGGCGGCGCGGCGGCTGCAGGTCTTTCGGCGCCTGCTGCCACCCAGCCGCTCGAGCCGTTCGCGGAGGAGCAGTCCACCAGCGAGGACGACTCGTCCGCGTGCATGTTCTTCAGCAACGTCACCATGCTGGGCAACAAAACCTGGAACTATCTCAGCTCCGAGGCTACGTTGGCCAAGTACGAGTACATCGGCATGGTGGAGTCCCACATCGGGGCCCATACCAGGGCCAAGTGGGCTCGTCGAGCCCGGGCTGCCAAGCTCAAGTTTTTCGGCAATCCAGCGAGATCAACTGGTCGGGGCACCTCGAAGGCGACGGAGGGGCGCGCTTACGAGGGCGGGGAGATCATGTTGACTCGTGGTCATCTGTCTGTTCACAGAGTTTTTGACAAGCCGCATGAGGGCGCCAGTAGCTACTGTGCCGAGGGCTCAGACGCTCTCGATGGTTTCATGCCAACTCTAATGCATCTGTGTGGCTTCTCGCTGCTTGTGGTACTGTTTTACGCACATCCGTCAGTAGAATTCTCGGGTATCAACTCAGCTAGATTCGCGAAGCTGGGAGCATTTTTGTCTGCTGTGAAGCTTCCGTGGCATGTCATCGGTGATTTTAACATTGATGTTGCTAAGTTTCAGAGGTCAGCGTTTTGTCGCCGCGTCGGAGGCGTGATTCGTCGGGCTGATGTGGAATGCACATGCGTCGGGAGTGCAGGTAGTTCTCACATCGATTTCGTCATGGCGTCTGAGTGCTGTCTTCCATACATTCGCAGTATCACCCCAATTGTTGACACGCCATGGGCCCCCCACATTGGGCTAGAGTTACGTCTGGGAGGCTCAGGCGAACAGTTGCTAAGCAGATCGTTGCTTGTCGCTCCCAGTTGCCGCAAGTGCCTAGGCCGTCTGTTGCACCCACTGCCGGGGCCAAGTCAAGTGCTAAGAGGCTCGAGCAGGCCGAGCGAGCTCAGAAAAGGAAAGAGCGTCTGATTAGTGAATGTGATCTGCTGTACGGTGACATTTTCGGCAGCACGTCTACCCCCGAGCCCCCCGACCCTGGAGATCTCGACCCTTCGGCTGGCGGCCCCGTGGGTTTTTTTCGTCGCAGGTTGATCCTCTGGGGGAAGAAGGCTTCGAGGGGCTTTTTGAGGCTGAAGAGGAGGACCCTTGGGCCGACGAGTCCTCTTTTCAGCCTGCACCTGGGGTCTCTGAATCACTAAGCAACCCTCCTGCAGGCGCGCCCGAGGCGACACGGGCTTCGTCGGCGGCGCCTGGGAGCGCAGCAGCAATTCGGAGTGAAGGCAATGGTTTGTCCCCCCCAGCCGAGCGCCCTCGGAACGATGGTCCCCTGGAGGGGGTCAGCGATAACCTCTCCTGTGCTGATGCTGCTGCCTCTCCTGCTCCTCTCCCGTCTTTCTCTGTCTCTCCCTCCTCGTGGGTAGCCGCTTTGGCTCAAGTCCCTTGGACTGCACTCTATTCACGATGTGTGGCCTCCTATTCGTCAGTCGCTCGCTTTCCAAGTTGGCGCAGCATGTTTTGCCCATCAGCGGGGCCTTCTCGCGGTGGGTCCAGGCCACGGAGCTGGTCATCTCGCCTCATCACGAGATTGGAGCTCCCGAGCGGTCTAGGGCAGGCGGCTGCGATTTGCAGGTGGTCTCGGTGAGACAAGCTGAGCACATACGCCAAGAGCCGTTGCGAGACGGCATTACTACGTGGTGGTCAAGGATTCACAATATTGTTCAGAGAGTGCCACGGCATCGGCGGCGCAGCAACGGCATCGTGCAGCTAGGCTACCTGGCGTCGGCTTCCGTCAGGCTGGCCGACCAGCCAGTGGACGGAGCAGGCGCAGCTTTCCCTGCGCACTTGGGCTCGTGGCAGGGGCTTTTGCAGGACCTCAGGCGTTTGCTCGAGCTCAGCGTCGACGAGCTCAGCAGGCTGGAGGAGAAGACTTTCAGAGCGTCCAAGAAGGCGCAGAATCGTGCTGCGGCCTCGTCCTTGAAGGATTTCCAGCACTGGTTCAGCAGCCTCGATTCTCAGGGGCAAGTTATCAGATCACTGAAGGACCCAGATCCTGAGCGCGACGAGCTTCACGACATCGACGGCTCGGTCAGAGTTCACCCCATGGATATTGTGGACCGCAAGGTGCTACGCTAGCACAAGCTTTGGCATTATGAGGTAGCTTCTTGGGATGGGATTTTGGCCACCATGAGTACGGTCAGGAGCAGAGCTGAAGTTGAGCAGCTCGTTCCACTCGACGTTGCGGATGTTCATGCGGCTTTATCGCGCATGAAGGCTCGCGCAGGCCTCGGGAACGACAGGCTTTCCCCGACCGACATAGAGAGGCTGCCCGGTGAGGGCATCCAGTGCCTCTGCGACCTCTTCCATATGATCGAGGAGGGCCTCTCTTGGCCGTGGCAGGCCATGTGCGCGGCGGGGAAGCTGCTCGGCAAGAAGTCGGGCGGCGACAGAGTGATCGGGTTAATCGCGATGTTGTGCCGCGTTTGGTCCATGGCCAGGGAGGTGCAGATGAAGGAGCGGTCTGCCCTGCAGGCGGAGACGGACCACTGGGGCGCCGCCATCGCGGGGAACAGCGCCCTGCGGGAAGCGTTCGTGCGGGCCTTGCAGGGCGAGGCCCATTCGCGCCTGGACATACCGCACGGTCAGACGGTGGTTGACATTGCGTCGTTCTACGACTCCATAGAGTGGGAACCTTTGACCTTGTGTGCCATGCGCAAAGGTTTTCCTGCCGTTATTTTGCATCTGCAACTTCAGATTTGCCTGGCGCCGCGCATGCTGGAGCAGATCGACTCGTTCAGCGAACCGTTTCAGGTGACTGCTCAGTGGCGCAAGGGCTGCGGAATGGCACGAGGTTTGCCAAGTGCCTCACAGCCTACGTGTGCCAGCGCCTCTGTCAGGCGCATGTTTCATTATCAGAGCGAATCTGGATAGACGGTTTATCCCAGAGGGTTATGGGCCCGAGACAGCATGTCAGGTCTACACTCATCAAGGGAGTGCTGTCGACCATCAGGTTGTTCTCCAAGTTGCAGTCGTCCATCGCCGACAAGAGCGTTGTGTTGTGCTCGCACCACAGCGACGCGCAGGTGGTCGAGCGCGTCCTCAAGAGGAAGGGAGTCACTTTGCGAGCCGTGCTGCAGACCGCCTACCTCGGGGTGGACCTGTCCTGCGGCAGGCGGCATGGTCGAGCGACCGTCAGGCAGCGGGCGCACAAGTCCAGCAAGACGCACGGGCGGCTGCGGAAGTACGCTCAGGCCGCACGGCGCTGGGCGGTGTCCGCCAAGCTGCAGCGTGCAGGGCCGCAGGCAGCCGCCGTCTACGGGCACCACGTGTACGGGCAGTTCGGTTCGGTGCTGCAGTCGCAGCGACGTCGTCTTGGCGCTGCCGCGGGGTCCGCCAAGCGCGGTAGGTGTCTCACGACGCTGCTGGCGCTCAGGCTTCCAGGTCATGATCCTGGAGTACGTCTGCCGCGGCAGTGCTTATCTCAATGGCTGAGTGTGTGGCTGACCGACGCTCAGATCAGGCCGGCCATCGTGCGGGCTTGGCCGCGGGCAG